AGTGACTGTAGATTATGGACCCTGGAATAACCTAGTGATAGGGTTGGGTATTACTGTGAGTGGAAAATCAATCTTTACACTTTCTATGGAAGAAGAATTGGTTTTGAAAAATTCACAACTTGAAGTACAAAACCATTTTATCAAAAAATTCTACCTGTGACATCCAGTACTTTTTCCTTATTTCAGCATTAATAAATCCCAGAATCAGAACTATTAGAAATGACCTCTCTTCCTTCTCAGTGTGTCACTGCCTTGATTACATCATTTTTCCTATTCTATGTATGTAATGGTATATGACATTAAAGTGGTTCAGAGTCATAGTCTATTTCTTGCTAGCAGTATCATTATATACACTTCTCAGACTCCCAGTTCACATGATTTTACTCCCTACTAAGGTAGGGCCATGAAAAAACAGACTGCTGTCAACTGCTCTCAAAATCTTTCACTTTTTATTGTGGCTATGTCTTCTATCTCCTATCTATTTTCTCTACAAAAGACTCATTGTAAATCAGGGTTTGATGTAATTCTACTGCAAGCCTACTCTTTTTCTTCCACAAAAAGAAGGGGATACTCTCAGAATTCGTTCCCATCACCACTTACCTTCTCATGGTTCTTTCTCTCTCCTTTCCCACTGCATCAGTAAAGGGATGACTTTCACTTCTCACTGACCACCAACAGCATTTAATTTGTCCTTTATCTGAGAGGAAGTTTTTAGTATTCAAAATTGACATTACTCCTGGCAAAAAAATCTTGATGGTGGTAATAATAATAACAATAATAACAATAAATAATAAACACTAATAATGTTTTACTAGATAGAGAATAATATGTAGATAAAAGTAGATGTACATGTAATCCAACAGTCTTTTCACTTTTACTGTTACATACATTGTTTGTTAGTTTTCCCTTTAGGTGGCAAAGAAGCAAACATATTCTAGACATTACTATGAAAGTGAAAGTTTTTATATTCTATAACATTGTTCTGGAAGTTCGCTTTAACATAGATTTCAAGCCATTTTAGACCAGAGAGGCTTCTTGAAACCCTGTGAGCAGACCAACTGCCATTACACAAACTCATACACGTAACAGAGTACAAAGCTCTGTATCTCAAAAGAGATAAATAATATCTCAAAAGAGACAAATAATTTACCTCAAAAGAGGTAAATAATAGCATTTCAGCACCGGAGACTGTTGTAGCAAGTAGGGGGTCTCCGGCCACAAACAATGTCATCACAAGATGTGCTTGTTTACCAACTTTATGGACACTGCTTCTGTAATACCCTAATGATGGCTGCATTCATTGTGCTCATTTATGCATTCAAAGATCAAATAGCTTCTGAAGCTACTAAGCTTATAAAAAAATTTACTGTAGTTAGTCTTATGCATATGTGTGAGATATCTGCCAAAAAGAAGCACATCAGATGCACCGCATAAATAGATTTGTGTGGAGCCAGTTATTAAGCCTAATCAGTGGGGGCAACTCAACAGCATCTTTTAAAACAATGGCTGAGATGCTAAAAGCATAGAAGGCAGGAGCTGATCGTTCAGATGAATCTATTGCTGGCTTTTTGGTACCAAAAGAGTACCCAAGAGGAAAAATGCCACCCAAAAAGAGTCCTTTTGAAGAAAAGGAGAGATAAAGAGATGCTTCACCTACCTCTGGTGCATTTACCAGGAAGGGCCAGCCTTGAAGATGGATGAGGCTCTGGGATCTGCCTGAGGCTCACATCTTACAAACCTCTCTTTGACCATAATCCCACTTCAGAGGGAATCAGCAGAAATTATTTCTCAACCTCACTCTCTGTGTTCCTGTCTTTTGTCTGGAAACCTTAGCTAGTGACAAAGTCTGAACTCTGTTAAACATTTACAATATTTTCAAACTCAGTGTACATCTGATATCACTAAATTCATATCATATTAGCCAAACCTTAACAGAGGCTGCTATTATTATATAAAATTGCTATTATTATCCATTTGCAATGGATTTTTAAATCAACTGAATACAGCTCTGACAACTGTGAAATGATTATCTATGTAAAACAAGATGAGGATAATGGTAATCCCATGTGATGCCATACACTTGCAGGAATTAGGAAAGATTCCATAACAGTCCTGTCCTTCTCTTACTTGGTTCTGAAACTGATTTCTCATGTACAGTGGCAGTGGCAGAACTGTAACACTGCCCACACGGAGCAAATGAAACTGGGACAAGTTCACCATACTGCTCAATCTACTTTAAACATGGATTTTTGACACCACCACAAGCAAGTAGTTTAACCACATGTAAATTTACCTGCATTGATTCTTGTAGGTTTTGAAGGGTTTTTTTTAATTTATTGCAAGAAAACATTAATGTTTAAAAAAATCAACAAGACGAAACAGTTTTAGGAAATTCCTCAGGACACTAAAGCTTTAAGGGAAGTCTCACTAATTTTATGTATAATATAAAGTTGTACAGAAAAATTCTATGTCTAAACCAGACTCATTCAATTCTGTAAAACCCCAGTAACAAAATTTTCTGAGTTTTATGTCCCTACATATTCCTTTTTTATTTGCCATTTTAGTTTTCATTTGAATTTTCTTTTTCCAACACTTCAAAAACATCTTTAAAAGAGCATTTCAGCAAACCAAAAATGAAAAATAAATAAACCAGTCTAATGGGATATAGCAAGCCGTAAACTTTTTAATTCCACACTCAGTTTCATTTCCATTTTTTTTTAAACAGAAGTTCATAATTATTAAAGAAATGTGTGGTTTGTAGATTTCCCCTTGTTTTGATACTTTGAAAGTTCCTCTTTGGACTCTATCTCAGAAAGGTTTTTAAAATTCATTTCAAAGATTGCTTTCAATCATCTCTATTAAAAATGGTCTTAAAAATAACAAAAAAGATAAGAAGAGTTGGAATTTTTTACCACCTTTTGCCAGTATTTATTACTCTGCGTCACTAGTAACCTACAGATTATATATAGTGCTTTTTATCTTCAGGGAAAGAAGAACTCCAAATTGTTAATTTGCAGACATTTCTTTTCAAGTTTTGCATACTTTTCTGACACATGATATATTAAAATGTAAGTCCCTCCTCTTTTGCTTTTCTATAATTTAAATAATTACCTGAATAAAGCATGTGAATTATGGCTTTCACATTTCCCAGTTCAATCATGCTAATTTATCTTCTGGCAGTGAATTTCAAACAAAATTACTGTCTCGTTCTGAGACATGATGTTAATAAAAGATATTAATTACTTCTTAGAAGGCATATTTCTTTATCCAGACCACAAATTTAAAGAGGTTTGCAAGAAAAGAACAAACTCTGCTTTAGTTCTCTCTCCTCTGAGAAGTACAGAATTTCTTGCACTCAGACTCATACAAAAAAGCTCTTTTCTCTCCTTCTCATTGAAAACCTTTCTATATATTTCTTCTGTATCCTCACTGACCACTGGTGCCATCACTTTCTTTAATGCCATTTAAGATACATTTGCTTTGAAAACTCATCTTCCTAGCTTTGAAATGTACATGGAGATCTCTGGTGTCTAATCAAAGCAAATGGAGAGTACAGACTATATTCTACACTGTTTCCTTTCTTGTTCACTTTCATATACTATCCCCTGCTGATAAAACAGGCAATTTTAACTGCAATAAAAAAATAATGAGCAAAAATGCTGAATGCATGTGAAAGGTTTTACACAGCATGAATCGTTCACCATTTCGGAAGAAAGTCTCTTCAGATTTAGTTATGTTTGTCAGTATATCCTGGAAAGCATTGCTGGATCAGTTTTGAAAAGCCAAATATAAATACAAAATACTTTATGAAGTTTGCAAACTTGTTTCTGCTTTTCTACTGGGGAGATGTGGAGGAGAGTTGTGACTTTTTCAGAATTATTTAACTTCAGATAACAACATTTTCTGCATGTTAACTTGGAATCTTTATCTAAAACTGTCCTTTCATGTAATTTCTAAAGAGTGTTCACTGCAGGCATGAGAAAGAATTTTTGAAACTGGATCTATTACCCTCTCATGAAGCATTTGGAGGTGAGGGTGTGTCCCCGTTTATGCATATCACATGTAGGTCCATTGTTTACTCTAGCCAGTACTTCTAAATCCCTAATGTCCATCTAAGGGATAAAGATCATTCCTCTGTTCTAGTCCACCACTTGGAGAAAGAAAAAAAAAAAAAAAGAATGAAAAGTGTACACTTTCAACGCAATACTAATGTTCTTCTCTAAAAGAATGTTTTATAATGAAGACAATCTGTTTTAAATTGATATTGAGATAATTGGTAGTGGAAGAGACAGAGCTAATTTTTTTTTTTACCTCTTCGTTCAGTGGAACATAGAATATTCTGGCTGCAAATACTGCAGCAAAGCAGGAGGATTTATCATGGACTGGTTCTCTTACAATAAACCACAAAATGGCAGAAGGAAGCCAATTTATCTTTTCAAATACTGTGGTCCAGAGATGCAAAGCAAGGAGCAAAGAGACAAATACATTGTGTTTTCAAATTATGCTGAAACAAGTTATGCTAGAAAAGAAACAGGCAAATAAGACCCAGAAGGACCAGATGCTAAAAATATAATGATTTCTATTTTTCCCTCTGCTGTTACTCAACATTAAAGCTAGATCTATTGTCCTTTTGTTTGCTTGGGCACCATTTAATCTCTGCGTTTTGCTTATTCATACTTCTTCCAAGCAAAGCAGGCACTGGACTATACAGAAGCTTCTATTTATGTTCCCCATGTTTCTGCCAGTTTTAACCTTTCTTCACAGTCTGTTTCTGTACTTCTGTCTAAAAGCAGCAAAAGCTGATGTGTTTCCTCCGTTACCTTTTCTCTTCTAGAAGAGTTTCACCTCATATTCTGTATTTAGGTCGAGTACGAATTCAAAGTGCAAGTGATAATTGTGATAGTATTTTACCAGCTTCAAGTATTAACTCTAGACATAACCTGGACTTCCCATGGAGTGAGAAGTGCCTTCTCCCGGCTGTGTGGTTGACACTGCGATAAATGGTGCACGTGCAATTGCTGCGGCAGCTTCAGTGCGGTGACACGTCCACCTTCACGCAGCCCCCAGCTCCTCCTGGGGAGGTTACAACCTCTAAAAGGTTGTGACACAACAACCTTTTTGCCTGAGAGACAGTTTGTGTTGAGGTACTTGCCACTTCAGAAAATCACTCTTCTTTTACTTTGTTTTACAACACCCTAAACAGGTTGCTAGTTTATTGACAGCAAGCCTTATATTTTTGCATTTTAAAATTGATTCAATCTCCATTTGTGTTTATTTCTTAGTTTCTTAAAACATTGATTATTGTCTTGACTTTTGCTCTTAAGAAGGGTCTTCATTTCTTTGTTATTCTCAGCTTTGTTCATGTTTTCTTTCAGACTAGGATGTTCCTAGTCCTTAAACTAATGCTGGGCCTGATCCTGCACTGAATAGTAAAACTAGAGTAAAGAAGAATGCGAAAAAGTCATATTATCATACTTTATCCTGAGAGCAATACAACTGAGGCAGATGAAAGCAAGCAGAGTTCTTCAGGGCAAACTAAGTGAAGCTTATTTGTTCTTCATGTTAATTTTCATTTTAATTTAAATTCTTTAACTTAATTGTAATTTTAATCTAAAAACTTTACATTAATTGTAATTTTAATTCCTTTCTCCATTCTGAATTCTTGTTAAAGAGTCACTTGTAAAAAAGAAAGGATGCCCTGCATTTTTAATTAATACATCGAGATAAAGGCTCATGCACGTATCCACATACAAGAAAACAGATTCAGACACCAAGAGGAAGGCAGAAACAGACTTCACTGTTAACATTTTGGCAGAAACTTAAGATGAGCTTTTATTAAGTTCAACTCAAATGTTTATTTTAGAGGGCACATAATACAAAGGCTAAACTATATGACGCATGAGAAGTAACTTTCAAAAGGCTGAAGTTTTGCTCAGATATTTAATATTTTTTTTTACAGAACACCTCAGAAGTACCTACAGGAGCACTCAATATAAAAATATGAGAGGACTATCTAGTAAAAGAACATCAGCCATTAATTGATCCAAGCATCACATAACTGGGTAATGTACAGAGAAGGCATTCAGCAGCCTTAGGTAATCTCTGCGGAGAAGTGGAGCCAACACCTTACACATTGTAGGAAAAACAGTATTTTAAAGTAAGCAATGACTTCTAATGATGAGTGGGCTGTGTGTCAGAGGTGTCAGTGGTGAAAATACAAGCCTGTGAGATGAGCACAAGATCGCATAGCCTATAAAATGAAATGGCCTTTTAAAACAAATCAAATTCTGTCCGAGGCAGAATGATAAACAAAAGCGAGAGCTCCAAGCTGAAAGTAACCAATACATTTCAGTGTTAGAAGATCTATTTTTAATCTTCCTTCTGACCACATTTTGTAAATATGCTAAGAGATAGTGCAGAGGAATGGAAAAAAATTCCAACTCCCTTAGACCAACAGTAGTGATCTAACTAAAAAAGACTCTGAATGGTCCCCAAACCTAAGAGCAGGCTGGGAAAACTACTAACTGTATCCTAATCTCTAATTCACTAGCATCTCCAGTGAGGCTGAGACCAAAATGTAAAGGCTTACTTAGTCCTTTTGGATTTTTCCAGCTTTTTCCCCATGGAAACCACTCCTCTCTTTATTCATCTGGCAACACATGGTACTCTGTTTTCTTTTTGCTTTAATCCTGGTTTGAGGCAAAACAGCCCAGCCCAAACCACGAGATTTTCATTCCCATTCCCGTGTCTGGAGTCTCCATGTACTGATAAACTCTAAGTTTTTCATTTTTAATTCAAGTTCAGAATATCGTTTTACCTTTCCCAAAGATGCAGCTTTCTACCCCACAGTGCAAACTCCTAATGGCAAGCAATTTGAATAACTTTTGAATGCACCATCCTTCTTTCTTACTGCCAGGTCTTTCAGCTTTACCAGCTTAAATAACCAAAAATTCAGTCTTTTATCCCAGGTACTTAGTAAAATCCTCACCCTGATCCCAGGTATATTATGTAAATATTGATTAGTTCCATTGTTATGGATTTGCTCCATAGATTCTATGGATTTGCCCCATTAGCATAAGCGAGACAGTATATTCACCAGAACTTTTTTTTCATATATTCATTTCCATTTCCATTGTCGGTCATCAAGATGAAATGTTATAACTCTGAAATCAGCCTGTCACTTATATAATTTGAAAACCTACTTACTATAGAGCTTGCAAGCACGCTACTCCTACACACATGCACTCCTAGTCAAATTAACCTTCAAGTGAATGAATATTTAATTTTTACATTATTTTCAGCATCTCATCTCTCCACAGTAAGTGTGTACTGGATAATAACATAGCTGATATGGTGCTAAATTCTTTGAAGCATGAGAGATGAAGTAAAAAAGGCTACAAACCAACTAACTACTCTCCTGAATACTGAAAGTCCAAGTCCAAAGACAAAACAACTTTGTCAACTGGTGAAACGCAGGCAGAAGGTAAAGACAGAGAAACTCAGGAAAGACAAAACATTATTTCTCACGTTGACAGCAACACTAAAAGTGGGCTAGTAAAGAAATTAAAGCACTGGAGGCCACTATGATACATTATAAACAGATCAATAGCATAAAATGTCACATGTATCTTCTTTCCAACACTTTTGGTAACTAAACACTGACCTTTATAAAAAGGCACAGAGCTGTGAGAAATAATCTGATTCATTTTGGTTAATGCTATAAACCTAAAAGCATCAAAGAGAAAAGTCAAGCCAATAGATATTACTTACATTTTAAATAAGCTAAAGGCTTTCTTTTACTGAAAATGCTATCTTTTCAGAAAAGTATCAAAGACTTCTACAATCTACATTGGGCAGTGCAAATTTTTAATAGTATCATTATTTTGAGGAAAAAAGAAAAAAGAAAAAAAAATACCAGAAAAAAAATCTGTGTAAAAATTACTGTTCCAGCAATATCAGAGCATTTTATGAAAGTCTATTAGTCTGATGAAAATTTCACTTGTACATTTCTTCACGTCCAGGTTAAAATTTTGACCAAAGCATGTGCCAGTCCTTAGACTAACCAGGAATGTTCCTATGAACTTCAAATTATTTCTTTGTGTCAGGCAGAAGAGTGGTCTGAAGCTGCCTCATTTCTCAGCTGACTGGCCTACCCATCTCTTGGTTACACTGAACTGGGTTTCACCCCTCTTCCTCCGTGACCTCTAAATGGAGTCTCCCCAAAATTTCAAAACCTCAGAATTTTTCCATGATCAACTTTTTATTTTCTGAGCAACCTCACTGTTACTGTAGGTCACAGGCTAGATTAAACATAAACTGGTGGTTCAACTGGTTGATGCAAGAATATTTAAGAGAGACTGAAAACACTGATAATGTGAGCAGCGAACAAAAGGATGTTCCTGCATTGTTTGGATTAGTGGTGGATAATGTTAATTTCCCTACTGACTGTATTCACTGTGTTTCTCTAAAAATTATGAGCCACAGTAGGCAATGAGAACTAAAAAGAAGTACCTCTTTGTTTTCCATCTGATTGCAATGGTTGATTTATAAACTCATGCAGCTCTCTAAGAAAAACATGTCTTGCAAATAGCTGGTGTATTTAAAGGATTTCTAAAAAGATTTAGAAAACTAGTTTTAATCAGGCACATTCCAGCTAGGTTTTGCATTTGTTTTTACATCTGCTTAGGGAGAAGGGTTATTTATACTATTATTTTGAATCTATTATTCATGTATTAGCTGTTCATGTCATGAATAGCATCTCAGGGAAGAGCTGATCCTGGGTCTAAAGAAGATATACAAAGGTACATACCCATTCATGCAGAAATCTGATTGTTGGGATTTATAGTCATAGCATCTTTCCTTACTGCATGTTTTCTGTGAGGCTGTAATTCTATATGTTATTGCACAGGACAGCAAGAGAAAACTTTTTAAGTACAGAAATCAACGTAGAGCAACTGTGAAAAATAGCAGCAATCATAGAAAAAGCAGCAGTTGGATAAAGCCAGACTATTCTTTTGTGCATTCACACATAACCCAAGACTGAAATCCAGCTCAATTATTTCAAGTTTATAGAAAAAAGGTAGGGAGAATGCGTTTAAAAAAAGACTACAGTTTGCCTTCTGTTGTAATTCTTTGAATAGTTTTATTTTTCTTCAGAGATGTACACCACCTACCCATGAAGCAATAGTATATGCTGAAAAGATATTATCTGATGTTACAGCTTACATAAAAGGAAAATTTCTCTCTTTCCATTCCTCTCTTATCTAGCCAGGACAGCCACATATTTTATGGGTATCAAGCAGGAGGCAATACTGAAAGTGTGGTAGAGGCAGTGGATTCTGAATTTCAATAGAATTTTTTTCCAATTCGGAAAACCAGCTCCCAGCACCATTCTGAAAGAGCTGCAGTAAGAACATAAGACCTAATATTATCTTAAGACCCAATATGTTCCTTTCAGTGGGAAAATGGAAAGCCATCATTTTACATTAAATTCCCTAAATAGCCTTGCTGATGATTTTTTCCTGTATTTTTTTAAAAGTGGAATTTCAGTTCTACATGCCAAAGGAGATGGGTTGCTGATTAAAGTTGTTTGATCACACACCAGCAGACTGAGGACCTCCCACTGCCGGCTCTAACTGTTCCCTCACTTTCTTAAATGCACGTCTTTACTATTCTGACTTCATCTGTAGCCTTGTGTAATAAATATGAAGTCATTTGTCTGGTATGTATTAATATCACTATGATACCAGTCCTCTGTTTTCACAAATTGATTTTCAGTGTGTCATTTCCATGTATGTTACCCTATTGTACATTCCAAAGGTACCCCAAAATAATTATGGTGAGATGATCATCCTAATATAGAGCTGAAACTACATTCCTAGCATGAAGCTGCTTTTCAATGCATATTCCATGGAACAATGTTCTTTGAAAACGCTAGTACAGTGATGTATTTCGCTGCTACTTTACTAATGCTGCACACAACATTCATCCAAAAGAAAAATTGATGTCAGAGTAATGAACAATACATGTCGCGACTCATTAGGATCAGCACATGAAACTCTTGCTGGTGGCAACACAAGTG